CTTTGCTTCTTCCTGAGACCAAAGGGACAAGTCTTTGTGATACAATGGAAGAACAAGAGCAGAGAGACCAAACCTTGAAGCCTAACCATTCTTGCTGAAAAATTAGATTCATAAAACTCTCTTCTTCTATGTATCTCTACATAAATTTGTCACTGAATCGAACATTTTGGTTCCGATTCTTATGTGAAAGAAACCCTACAATGTCATTTCTTGAATTCTTGATCAACCAAACCATTCCATTTTCCGGTTTTCTAAATAGAATCTCCATGAATACGAAAGAGATTTTAGTGAAACTAAGAAATGTTGCTAATCATCTACAAAGCTATCATGTGAATGTCTCTGTCTTTGAACTACTAATACAGACGCATTTACATCTAAAGACGAAGCCAAGAAATCACCGACAGTTCCAAGCTCCGGACATTCTTCCCAATCTTTCATTCTCACCGTCATAGGACAATCTCCTCTGCTCTTTCCGACCACAAACAGTGAATACATCTCTCCAATCTCTCTTAGAATCGTCAACGTATGTGGTCCGTTGCTCACACGCTTCTCTATGAACCCTACTTGTCCCGTCGTCACAAATCTGTTGCAGAAAAAACTATAACATCATAACTAGTTTCATTGGAAACTGAAATTCTGAATTAGAGTTTCGCTGTAGCCAAGATCAGAGACAGAAATAAAACAGAGTAGCTACAGGAAACAGACCATCCGCAAAACAGAGTATTGAGAAAACAGAGTGTCTTTAGAAACAGAGTATTAGTAAGGTACCTGTTATAAAATTCTTCTAAGAAGCTTCGATCAGTTTCTTGTTCAGTTTGATCTCTTCCAAGAACTTCCAAAAAGACCTCGTTATTCTCTCGAGTCATCGCGTTCCCAACCGGAGTCTCTGCCTTTGAATCCTCGGAGATGAATTGTATGATGGTGAGATGAATCAAAGTGTTGTTCGCGAGCCATTTGCACAGAGCGAGAGCCTCACGGTCATCAGGACCACCGAAGAACAATGCCGCGACGTGTTGTACCGATTCAAACCCGTGCGGCTGTTGAAATCCGGTTATGTTTCGGTCCACGAAGATACCAATCGAACACGGAGCGTGCCTTAGAACATTCCGGTTCATCTGTCGGAAAGTTTCCCCATCGTTTGTAGTCTTACCATCGATCCTTTGATGTTTATGGAACGGAAGAAATACAATCGAAACGCGAAGATCTTCGGTTGCGTTACAGATTTCTTCGTGCATATTAAGCATTTGCGTCACGAGTTTCACTTGATGGATCAAGATTTTACTGTCTTTAGCAAACGAATCAATAGAATCATTGATTTCTAAACCTTCATTGGTCCCGAATTCGTCATCTCCATGAACATTTCCTCCATCTTCGTCGTGCTCGTGATACAACAATTCCGATTTTCGTTTCTTCGGGAGCGGTACGAGGTGCATAAGCAGAGGCGTGAACGGTTTAGAGGCTCCACGAGAACCGCTCAAGGCCGAGACAAGAGAGATCGCACCACGAGCGTGGCGGACTCCGTAAACGCAGGATAAAATGCGTAATTCATCGTTCGTGTCGTGAGATTCAAGCGAAGTTTTATCGTGAGCAAAGTCTTTCTCTCTTGCTTTAAGAATGAAAGACGCAAGAATACCACTTACTAGCGTTGTAATCACCAAAGCTGCCACCATCATATCATGAATAGTTGTTGTCCACCATTTCTACATATAGATTCAGACAAAGAAATAATCTTAGGGTCTCCATTTGGTGGAAACTCGCTCGCTTATCAGATCAAGATTATGTAAAATGAAGAGTATACCTTTTCAGAGAAGTTTGCGTCGAGAAGAAGAAGACCAACATGGCCTTTAACAGAGAGAATGGTTGGTAAGAAAAGCCAATATTTCTTGGGGATCTTTAGGTATAAACAAGCGCTTATTACACCAAGAAATTTCCCTAACATCGTTAAAATCACTACAATAATGAGACCGAGGTAGAAGCGTTTGGTTAACGCGATGATGCTGAATCTAAATCCGATGTAACCAAAGTAAACCGGAAGAACAAACTCGTGGATCGGGTAACTAAGCCGCTGAATCAACGTTCTGTGAGTTTTCCCTTGTCGTGGAAACATTATGCCAATGGTGAAAACCGAAACCGAGGAATTAACATCGTAGGATTCGATTGTTATAGCGAGGATGAGAAGGAGGATGAAGAACACTAAAGTTTCAGCCTTGGAGAGGTATTTCTCTTTAGGGTTCCTCTTTGGTAGCCATGGAGCTAGAAACCTATTGAGCAAGATTAAGACTCCGGTCCCGAAAATAAATAGGAAGAGATCACCTATCATCGATCCAGAGACGAACGCGATGACTACGGTGTAGAGAACAACGTTTGTTAATTCGATGAGCAATGCACATGAGATTGTCAAACGTCCGATCTCAGAGGTGTTGAGTTTCCAATCCGCGATTGATCGGACTACAACAGGAGATGCCGTGTTAGACAAGGTAACGAGAAGAACCAAGAAAAACGTCAAGTGGTCGTCTTTGACCTGAAACAAAGGGATGAGTAACCATAAGAAGGCAAGGCTAAGTAGACCACAAGCCACAAATGAGCTAATCGCTATCGTGGCGGCTTTCTTGAAATTTCTTCTCATAAAGTGTAGATCGACTTCAAGACCGATCAAGAACATGAAAGATGTTCGTAAAGCAAATGAGAAGAAAGAGTAATAATCTGCTGCATTTTTCTGAAGGAAGAAGTCTTTAACTGTAGGGATTCTTGAGAGTAAGACAGGACTCAACACAATCCCAGCCTG